GTGTATTAAAAAACTCTCAGTTCTTCAAAAGCTTAGGTTTATGCATCAGTTCTCGACTCTCAAAAAGATACTATTTTTTCTGTCAATTTCTTCACACTTCTTCTTATGGGTACTTCAGATGGATTCTGAAGTTCTACTGCTTGCGTATCTAATTACGACAAACTTTTAATTGGATAGACGTTTAAAGCAGATAACATTTTTTTTTATTTTTAAAAATTATACTGTGCATTAAGCAGACGCATATTTCTCAAAAATTAATGGGTGATACAGAATTTTCAGAATAAAGTTAGAATTAACCGACGTTTAATTTATGCAGTATCCTCATCAGTTTGATCTAGAGAATTTTGCTATAGCATAATATTATTTTAATAAAAGAAACATATTTAATTTAATACATCTTTCCAAATACTAATACACGAATTTATTCTAACTGTAATTATATGAAAGGTTTTCGTAACTCCTCCTATTTATTTAGATATTTTATTATTAAAAATAAGTATGGAAAAAAATTAGAATCATCAACGTATGAATATCAGCAATGTTCGGGTGAGTTAATTACACCTACTCAGTATTAGATTTCATATAGTTGACAAGAACTTCTCTCACATTTTTAAAAATAACCTACACTATATTATAATTCACACACACACACACACACACACATATATATATATACGTATACGTATGTATTACATTATGTACATAACATGTATTTAAATATTATAATTTTAAATACATGTTACTTGGTCTTTATTCAAGAAAAAATTCTCATTTTAGTAAAATAACAAATTAACAAAAAATAACATTGTAGTAGATGTATTATAATACTGTAGTAATTATAATTGTACTACAAATGTATTATAATACTGTAGTAGCAATGATTTCAGTAATAATAATATGAATATATTGTAAGGTAGTGCTCCTGAAGTATTATAGTGCAGTGCCCTAGTAGTTCAGAACTGTAGCAATATAGTACTATAGTAATCATACTGCAAACCTCTAGAGGTGTAGTACTGTACTTATACGGTGATAAATACTGTGGTAGAGCAATGCTTTAGTAGTGTTGTTCTGTACTAGTAGTATAATGCTGTAGTACCCTTGGGCTTTAGTACTGTAGTAGTAATAAAAATATTAGTAATGAAGTACTGTAGTGCTAGTGGTATGGTATTGTAACAGCATAGGACTGTAGTACTCTGTAGTGGTATAATACTGTAGGGTAAGTAGTATAATAGTATCGTGCGGAAGTGCTGCATTTTAATATAATACTAAAGTATTGTAATAGTGTTTGTATTAGCAGCGTTATAGCACTCTTGTAGTATAGTATTCTAGTAGTTTTGTAATGTAGTAACCGTAGTGTTGCACTGAAGAGTTATTACTTGTAGTGCTTTATTAGTAGTAGTGTAGCACAGTAGTAATTTTATTATTGTATGGTATTGTCATTACTATTATTTAGATAATATCGAAACATAGTATAGCCTAGTAGAACTTAATAGTGTAGCAGTACTAGTATAATGCTGTCGCAGTGGAGAGATGATTTCGTGGAAGAAAATCGAGTCGTGTTCACTTTACACATTGCGAGAACTGCGAAAATGCTCAAGACAAATCCAGAATATCCCGGGCTTGTCGAACTATCACCTCATATTGAAATACCAGTTTTCTCCACTCTCCGCTAGTGGGTTCTGTATTAGATTTTTTAGCATTATTATTGTTAGTAGTAATGTATTATTATTGGTAGTAGTAATGTATTATTATTAGTAGTAGCATAGAGCAGTTATTAGTAGTAGAGGTGGTATAGAACTGCAGTATTTGTAATAATGCAGTACTGTAGAAATTGTATAGTCATGTAGTATTAGTACCGTAGTAGTAGTGTATTAATCTAAACCTAATAGTACAGCATTCTGATATTAGAAGCATATAGTATAGTAATATAGTGCCGTAATGATTTATTAGTTGCGTAGTTCCTTTAGTAGAGCAGTATAATGTTATAGTAATAAAATACTGTATCTGCTTTAAATAAACAGAGTATTGCTTTAATAGAATTGCAATGCTGCAGTAGTGTATTGCTGTTAGTATAGTTCCGATGTACTATAATAGTTACTTGAGTACTAGCATTGGATTAATGTAGTAGCACTACAGCAATAGCATAGTACTGTATTATTAGAGTGATATTAGTGCAGTTCTGTACTAGTAGAAACGTGCCGTATTATTATGAGTAATATTAGTACAGTCCTTTAGCAACAGCATAGCGGTGCAGCTATGTTGCGGCAGTTTTGTAGTACTGAAGAAGTATAGCACCGTCCCAGCAATAAAAATGTAGTACTATAGTAGTAATAGTATAGGACTATTATTAATCATACCGTAGTAGTATAATAGTTGTATAGCTCTGTGGTCGTACTAGTAATATAGCATTGTAGCAGTATTAGTTGTATAGTACTGTATGCTGTAGTAGAGTGCAGTTTGTTGTGCAGTAGAGTAGTAGTTAATGTAGCAGTAGTGATAATTTAGTATTGTACATTAAGGTGTTAGTAGTAGTATAATACCCCTCAATTTATATTGTTGCACTGCAGTACTGCTTTAGTAGCAGCTTTAATGCTAGTATTGTAGCATTATAGTCGACGTATTACTAATGAATATAGTACTTTATTAGCAGCATACTACTGTAGTAATATTAATGCAGTATTTAGTAATGAATATAATACTTTATTAGCAGGCATTAGTAATATACTGCTGCAATATTAATTATGAAGCAGTTTTAATATAGTACTCTAACAGTAGTAGTAATGTAATAATATTTTTTATTATTTAGATTAACGGCAAGGCAGTTGGGGGTTATGTGCCTACCGAGAGCGATGGCTTCATGGATGGATTTTCTAAGGGAAACTGTTTGGTACAGCCGTTACACTTACGGAAAATAATGAGAACTCCCATGTAGCACGTCCGTTCACCGGAGTTTGAATTTAAATCAAACTACCGGTATTCTGAGATTTTACCGCTCGGTTTTAGTGAGCAGTGTAATAATTACCAGTCTTAATGTATTCTAGTGTAGACAGTGGTATTAATACAAGTAGTGTAGTACTGTTTCAATAGTGCAATACTGTACTTGTAGCAGTTTTTGGCATTGAGATTTTAGTAGTGAAATAGGATTGGAATTGTAATGGTACCGAAGTATTTGAGTATTAATACAGTACTATATTTAGTGCAATTCTGCCGCTGCAGCTAACCGTATATTACTCTAGTAGTGTGAAACTGCTGTAATAACAAGGTATTGTAGTTGTGCATTATTAGTGTAGCACTGCACTTGCGCGTTTTTTATTAAGTATTGTAGCTGTACAATAGTGTGATAGTTTCATATTCTAGTAATCTAGAATAGTACCGTAGTAACAGATGTATATTCTGTTTGTATTATTTTTCCTATTACTTCAATATTAGCATGCTACAATTTTAGTTCTAGTACTGTATCACCCTACTTATATGTAGTATTGTACCAGTGGTAGAGTGCTGTAGTGCTGAAGCACTTTTGTTGCTCTGTGCTGCAATAGGAGAAGATATTTAGCATAATACTATACAACTAGTAGTATTTTACTGTAATACTGTGTGTAATACAAAGATAAAATAGCACTTCGAAAAATGCGCCGCGAAATTTAGTAAATGTGTAAACGTCCTCAAAAACAAAAGAAAATTACTTAAGTTTTAAAGAAAAAACACGTACAATATGCATGAAATTTTATAGTGTGGATTTATTATTCTGGATAATCGAGAGTACACTTCATTTGCAAGCTGAAAGGTTCAGATTACAACAGTCTAAATCTTTTTAACATTAAAGTTGAAAAATAAATTAAAAATTATAAAAGTCATAAATTTAAGGAAAAATGCAGTTTGATCTGGCAGTGCCAATTTTAGTTTAGCACCTAAAACGACTTTAACATAAACAATTAAGATAGACTTATTAGTTTAAGAATTAGCCCTCCAAAAATTAAAAATACAGAGCATAAATAATGGGTTTATTAAATTTAAAAAAAGCTTACCTTTCCAAACCATAGCTGGGCATTTACTATTCTGGATCGCCTGCGCACTACACTTGCAACAGATATTTTCCTCAAGTAGCAAAAATTTTCTATTTTACCAGGGCACGGAATATGCGATTTGAAAACAATAAACATTTCGAAGGGTTTTACATCGAGGTTTTTAAAAGCAACATCCTTTAAATATCACACATCACAATTACTCAAAAGTCTAAATTTGAGGGTGTGTTTTCTACAACTGTGTGATTCTAGGCATCACATAACTTAAGATTAGGGAAAAACAGTAACCATATTTTGGCGTAGATTTTGAATAAATTTCTATTGATTTCGAGGACGAATATTTTTGTTAAAAAGTTCTAACAGAAGAATTTTATTGATTTAAAAAAAATCCTATTTTCCAGTTTCTTCTATTTGAAAACTTAGTTCTAAACTTTCTAATAGGAATAATCTAGCATCATGTAGGGTTGTTTACGAGAAAGACAGTTTTCGCGTGCCTTTGTCATAACTGATTGCTGCTAATTTTCATGGAATAAAGCAGCTCATTTCCCTGAAAAGATAAATTACTGAAGCCTTTTACTTACCCTCTTTTTTATCTTTTGAATGCAGAATAATTAACGTCTGTTGGATAAAAGTGTGTAGTTTTCATCATGGACTTCAAACCACTATTCATATTAACATAGAGAAACCTTCACTCTGCTTCATGAAAAGTTTTCGGAGAAATTCAAACTCCAATTAGAATGGAATCCTTGGAAGTGCGCTCTCTTTCCCCCCCTTCTCGAACAAGTGTTTCCGCCCCCTCGAAATATTTGTTAGTTTCATTTATATGTATGGTCGAGGGATTAGATAGCCGTCCAATCCGGAGGAAGCGGCCCACGTCAGATGAATTGATTCGATGATAGTGCTGCGTGCGAATGCTGGAGAGAAATTCAATGTACATTTCTGATGCGCGTGGGTGCGCCCTTGCTATCCCATATAAAGACGCCGCGCGGAAGGAATGCTGCCTGCTGCCAGTTGCTGCTTTTGATAGTTAAGTAGACTCCGAGACTTGCATACTGATATAGAAACCATGGGGTGTGCAATGAGCGCAGAAGAGCGCGCCGCCTTGGCCCGCAGCAGGCAGATAGAACGAATTTTGAGAGAAGATGGCATTCAAGCAGCCAAAGATATCAAACTACTTTTACTTGGTAAGTGGACAAAGCATTTCAGTGCTCTGACTCTTTTATTATAAAACGTATGTTGCTTAAAAATTTATCAAGATCTCTGTAAGAAACAGCTTACACTGGAAGTTTTTTAAATGTCATTTTCTGCAAATTTTTAAAAGAATGTGTAAGGAAACTTCGGTAAACGTAAGTAGTTTTTCGTGGTACGAAAAACTACTTAAGTACGAAAATGTTGTCGAGTATGTGATTAAGTACGAAATTGTTGTCGAGTATATGCGATTTTGGAAATAGTGCAACTTTAAAGAAATTTAAAATTTAGCTTCTAAATTGCTTTTCGTAATATTTTGCGAATATATTTATTCGCATTTATACGAATATATTTATAATATTTTACGAATATCTTCGTAATATTTCGCTTCTATACCTCAGTATTTAAAAACCTTTGTATTACGGTTTGTAATATTTAATACTGTCAAAATGAGCACAGGAAAGTTTAAATTATCAGAAATTGAGAATGTACTATTAGTTTTGTGGCTGGAATTAAACGTATTTTAAATGCTACATACTAGGTGCCTTCTACAGCTTCTGAGAATAAAATCTTAAGCATAGCACCATACGTTGTAGAAAGCTAATAGATATTTTATATATTAATCATAATTTTAAAGTACAGGAATAAAAGTTAAAAAGCTAATATATTTTTTAGGAAACATAAAGATTTATGTACTTTAAAAATAATTCCAGTTTTTAATCATAGTTAATAGTATCATTAATCATATTTTTGAAGTACTTGTATCATAAATCATAATTTTAAAGCACTTTTATCATTAATCATAATTTTAAAGTACTTGTATCATTAAACATAATTTTAACGTACTTGAATAAAAGTGTAAAAAATAAAATATTTTTTATGAAGTATAAAGAATAATGCACTTTAAAAATATTTAAAGTTTTTAGTGTAATAGTATCATTAATCATAATTTTAAGGTACTTGAATAAGAGTAAAAAAACCTAATACTTTTTTTATAAAGCATAAAAGCTTAATGCACTTTAAAAAGTAAATCCAGATTTTCGTATAATAGTATCTTCAATCATAATTTTAAAGTACTAGAATAAAAGTAAAAAAGCTAATATATTTTTTATGATATATAAAGATTAATGTACTTTAAAAAATTATTTCACCTTTTTAGTGTAATAGTAAAATTAATCAAAATTTTAAAGTACTTGGATAAAATTGAAAAAACTAATTAATTATTTTTTGAAATATAAAGATTAAGGAACTTTGAAAAATAATTCCGCTTTTTAGTGTAATAGTATCATAATCGTAATTTTAAAGTATTTGAATAAAAGTAAAATACCTAAAGTATATAACCTTTATTGAAAATTCTCATTTGGCTTATAACGCGCATGATATGAATAAAATTCTCTTTTTCATATTTATTTGAAATTCAATGTTATCTGGAAAAGCATAGCTGTGGTCATACATGTGAAAAGTTAAAATTTTTTTTAATTCCAAAGCAAATCTCAAATTCATAGTCAGTAAATTTTAAACAATTTTCTATTTAACTTCTGTGTTTCTATTGTTAAATGATTTTCAGATATTGTAGAATATTTATATATAATGAAAGATTTATGAATTATAAAATGTGAGTTTAATTTTGCAAAGTACATTATTCTTTTAAAAAATAAGGTTTTTGTTTGAAAAATCTTTCAGTGCGTGCTAGAATTAAATTCTGATTAAATTATTTCAAATTTCTGATTAAATTGATTTTTAAATTAATGTGCGAATTCTTGCAATTTGAAAAAAGCCCCAGCAAAACTGGAGTTCTTTTCAAATAGAAGTTCTGAAAGCATTTCAAGAGGAAACCAACATACTATCTTTTCAGAAATAATTTATTCTGCATACGTGCATTGATTCTAGCACATTAATAGTATAATGCAAAACACATGCTATGCCATCCGCAGAATAAAATTGAAATAAAACATCAAAAAATTTTGAGACATTTCTAAAATTATTTTCATTTCTTATGTTCAAAATGAAAGTTAAATTTTGATGCATGATAAAATTATTTTCATTCCTTATGTTCAAAATGAAAGTTAAATTTTGATGCATGATAAAATTATTTTGAAGATTAATGTCAGAGGGTTGTCGTCTGCAAATTTACTACTAAAACTGCTAAAACTGTTAAGCGAGTTATCGCTTCGTCTGTGAAATTACAACAAAGACCTAAAAAGGTTTTAAACAACCTTTTTATCAAAAATTTTAAATGAAACAAATGCACGGCTTGTTCATGTAAATTATAGAACTCCACTGCTTTCGAGCTATCTGTTAACAGTATGATTTGATTTGATTTGATTATCGCAAAGCCCTCGAGGTCATGCCTTCGTGGAGGATATTTTAAGGGAAACCTGCCTGGTATGCACTTTATACATGTAGAAAACAAGGCAAATACGAATGCAGGCAGTGGTATTCGAAACCCGAACCGAACTACCAGTGTTTAGCGACTTTATCGGTCTGCCGACGTTGGCCGGCCACAGAAGACTAAAGTAAAAATCAGCCTAACTCAGCGCTGGCTCAATTTATTAAGCGCGCAGTTTACTTCGGCTTGCAAAATGGCTAAAACCGGACAAATTAACAGAGCTGGGCGAGAGAAAGGTACTACATACAGTGCGGCTAACAAAACTATCTCCTTAAAAAAAATTAAATAACATGAATTTGATTTTAAAAATGTAGTTATTTTAATTTTGAATTTGATTTTAAAAATGTACTCAAAGTTATATTAACTATTAACATATGAAATAATCTCCTAAACTCTTTTTGAAATAAAAGTGATGAATGCGTCTCAAGAGAAAAACGCCGTATCCTTTCCTCAACAGTAAGTTATTCGGTATACGCGCACTGATTCTGTTACTTTAGAAGTCTAATACAAAAGACATTTCATGCCTTCCGCAGCGTAAAATAGAACAAAACCATCAAAGACAAATTTTAGACGAAAGGAAAAGTCGCTGTAAGATAATGAGATTTATAAAATGCTTTCAGTGTTAAAAATTCATTAAAAATATAAGACAATTGCATGTAATATGAGATATACACTGATGACATAAAAGGATTCCCCATTATCCTACGTGCAATATAGTAATCGGCGAAGGCTAGCGGGGAGCTAGACCATTGCACTTGAGCTTGAACCCCTGCTGAAACGTAATATCAAGACACTGCATAAGGAGAAACCACCGTAAGTAATATGACGTTTGAAATAATCAAAATTTAAAGCAGATAATCAGAATAACGCTTGGAGTCACAGTTATCAAGCTGAATAATCCCAGAACTACTTGTAAGTTTATCATAGAATAGTAAGGCTTGTTTTCATTCAGCGAGAGGCCCACCAGCGGCCCAGCGGTAAAGTAAACTGAACACTGGTAGTTCGGTTCGAGGGTCGAATTCCTCGAACGGCCTGGTTGCATGGGCGCTTTCGTCGTTTTTCCCATTTGTAACGTGTATACGAGCCAGTTTCCCTTAGAAAGTCCTCCACGAAGGCATCTCTCCCCTTAGGCAGATAGCCCTTGAGGCTTTGCAGTTCACACACACATTCAGCGAGAAATATAAATCTGAGAGATTATTTCAGATATATTGTGCAGTTATTAAGATGAACTAATTTTGGACAAGAAAGACTTTGTAAAATATAGAAACTGCTCTTACTTCTTAATATTCAGCATTGTAATTTTAGAGGTTTCCCCGCTGTGATGCTTTATAATTCGGTTTGGTTCACCTCCGTGGTAAGAAGCCATCTTACCGGTGCATTCACTCACTCACTGTAGGGTCTTTAAAGAATGGGGATGCTTAATATATGTCGGTGATACAAGTCCCTCTCAGGGAGGAGATAAAAGATCCGCGGATAGCATAAATGTTTTCAAGATTACTATAATAAAAATAAACTCATCATCATAAAGAAGTATCTCAATATCAAAGAAGTATTCACCTATTTATATTTATTTTCTTGTTTATTTTATTAAAATAACAATCTACTTCCAGCCTCATTCCTAATGTCATATGGCCCACCAGCGGCCGAGCGGTAAAGTCGCTGAACACTGGTAGTTCGGTCCGAGGTTCGAATTCCGCGAACGGGCTGGCTGCATGGGCGTTTTCGTGGTTTTCCTCATGTGTAACGTGTATACGAGCCAGTTTCCCTTAGAAAGTCCTCCACGAAGGCATCCCTCCCCTTAGGCAGATAGCCCTCGAGGCTTTGCCATAATCACACACACACACACCTAATGTCATATGTAATGTAGGTGCTTGAATTCACCAAGGTCGGCACTAGGATTTTGCCATCCGGTGCCTGCCGAAATTCTAAAAATTTTTAAGCAGATAATTTCTGTTGCTCATAGCTTTCTATAAATTGTAAAAATTTTGTCATGCTTAAATTTTGCTGCTGAGTGCTTCTCTAAATTTTAAAATTTTGCAGCCCTAAATTTTGTCACCCGATGGGGCTGAAACGGTTGCACCATCTCCCGTGCCGAGTCTGAACTCCCTTGTACCCTAATATATTTTGTTTTCCAATGGCAGATTCTGAACAATTATAAATGTAACCCAGTCCATTAATATATACAAGGCCGGATGTGGTGGTCTCTTTATCATGGAGGCATCTAATAGGTGGGCCACCATCGCCTTTCCTATGAAGGGACGGACAGTTACAACCAAGCCTTTTCCGGGATTCGAACCCAGGGCCTTCGGCATCGCAGTCAGCTTCCCTGACCAGCATCGACTGGGCGGCCATGCACCCTAATATTAACACAGCGATTAATGCTGTTTGTTCTACCCCCCTGGCCTTCGGCTAGTTTGAAAGGCAAGTGGTGCCTTCCGCGGAGAAACATTATAAGTTAAATTCTAAAATTTCAGATAGCATCTACCTGGCGACGCATGTGGTGCTGTTGAGGGATCTATTTGCCCAAGTTCTAGCTCAGTAAAATTTGGGTTAGAGATTTGACGGATAGCCTTCGTTTGCTTTTCTAAGTTACGCTGTGTCTACTGG